GAGAAAAAACAAACCAAATACACACGAGTAAGCGGCTCGCGACAACTAAACTTACAACACATTTCTCTCAACCCTGATCCCCAAATCGATCGCCTCCATCCGTAGCTTTCGTTCAGGCCTCCAATTCAGCGGGGTGTGCCGCGCCACAGTGCAACTACCGTCATCGACCTGTGCTCCAGGCTTGCCGGCGATTCGAGGGACTCTCGGCCAGTATAGGTTTCGTCGCTTTTACTCGGTTGCCAACTCGGTCTGAGGCGGCGCTGATGGGGAGATGGTTAGGCTAGGCGGGATTTCTCCATTTAGGCACAAAGCGGTGGTCGGAGCCAAGGTTAGTTCTTCTCTCTCTCTCTCTTTTGTTACTTTTATCCTCCTGTTGCAAGGGGAGGACTCCTTCCGGTAGTGGGTGGTGCGTCTCTAATGGTCGTTTACTTCAGTCGTTTGTGGCTGATGAGTGGATTCATGTTTGGAGTAGTTCGTGTTATTCCCCTTGATGGTTTATCCGTCATTCATGGGTTGGGCGAAGGGCTCGGCCAACGGTATTGGTCAGTGACTCTAGGGGATGTAAGGCTTTAGCTGCTGGTGGGGTGGGGTTTTGCAATGGGGGTGATTTTTAGCATGCTGGCCAGTGGGTGGTCTACCTTTTGAGACCACTAGTTTGGGGGGAGGGGGGTTGGGTCTTGTTAGGTCTTTGCTACAGTTTCAGACTTAGTGCTCCGAACCAGGTCTTAGTCTGTGGGGTGATGACTCTTTGCGGTTGGTTGCATGGCGGCTTGCGAGTTTGCTCGTCGACAGTGGAGAAGGACTTTAGGTTAGTAGTTTTGTTTAGATTTGTTTTGGGTTTGTTTGTGTTAGTTTGTGTGTGTTTTGTAGCTGTCTTTATTTTGTGAGATGTATTTTGTTTTCTTCTCTTGAAGAGCGTGTTATTCTCCATTTGAGAGTGTGTATTCTTCTAATGAGAGCTTTTCATTTTTCTTTTTGATCTTGTAGTATGTGTTGTTGTATCTGACTGTCTTTTTTAGTCTTCATATTTTGGCTAATTAACCGATTATAATTATTCATTTTAGTTAATGAATATGATATTTCCAAAAGAAAAACACAAATAAAAGCTCAACAATTATCAAATACTAAATCATGCTAAGGATTATACGCCCCCTTCTCTCTCTAAATCCCTAATTCTTGCAGATCTGTCGCCTCGTCCCATCGCCTTCCTCAGCGGCGCTGCGTCTTTACCGATGGTCCTCCCTTCAGCGGCCGCTCGGCAGTCCAACTGAATTCGCGTTTTCTATCATCCCCAACGCCGATGGTGGCTATTGGATGTCCATGGCTGGTTCTCGTCTCTCCCCATGAATCGGTCGCGGTTTTGTTCGATGGCCTTTGTGGTGCTTCAGGGTTGCTGGGAAGGGGTGGTTCAGGGGATGGTTGGGGGTGGCTCGGGCGGCTTGCGGCCTTTGTGCCGTAATAGCCCGCGGCTGAGACGCTGCTTCCCGTCTCCTTCGAACTCTGTGCTTGGGTTTGGGGGGAGGATTGGTTCTTCCGGTCTTCGCTAGTGGTATTAGCTGGATCGGGAGTCCGGTGGTGTGGGGATTCTGTCGGCGTCTCTCCGGCTGAGGGGTGGGTCGGCCTCCCGAGGAGTTTGGAGTTCGGATTTTCGCCGTTCGTTAGGCGGTTCGACAGTTTCGGGAGAAATTTCTTGGGCTGTGATCTTTTCTTTTGGGTCGATCAGTTGCCCACTGGTTCGGCTCGGTTGTCCCACTGTGGAAGGGCTTTCTTATTTATTTTGCTGTCTTTTTTATTTTGTTGTTTTTGTGTTTTTGGTGTTTTTGTTTGTTTAGGTGTGTTTGAGTTTGTGTTAGTGTTGGTATGAGGTCTTGTGTTTGTCTTTTTGGTTTGGGCCGTTGGCCTCTGTGCGCCCGAGTGTCACCTTATTACCCTGTTGGGGTCCGACACTCGGGTATTACCCTGTTGGGGTCTTGTAGTTGTTTTAGTTGTTTGTGTTGTTGGTTAATTTAGTTGCAAGTGTTTTTATTCTAGCGTTGCTAGCCGGAATTCTAGACAATCTTCTGACCTGTCATCCCACTTTTTCTGTTGTTGACTGCTGTGTATTCAGCCGTTAGTTGCTGTATATTCGCACATTTATACATTTTTTGGTACATGGACCTTCCGGTTTCCGGATCCACATGGAAACCGACTAATCCGGAATCGAGCCGGGTAGGACCACAAGGGCGGCAAAGCTCTCCCTCAAGAATTTTAACACTGCTGCATTCCTAGGGCTCGAACACAAGACCACATTTATACATTA